TCACTTAACCACCTTTGAAGCAGGCAGAATGCACTTGTTACATGTGACAAGACTGAGGATCAACACTTTCAAGCTCTGTGTCATGGGACAGAGCATCAGAATCAGAGCTGGGATTAAACAGAGGACGGGGAAGATTCTAAAACAGACATTCTTGTATGGGGCTCCTGGGAGGGATAAATCAATTTTTGCTACAACGTCAAGGAATATAGATTCAAGGTTGATCTCACAGTCGTGTCTCCACAAACACCTCATTCTCAGCCCAATATGACTGAATATATTTTTAATCTCAACACTCAAATTCTAAAGCAGGAACAAGGCCAAATGTTCAAGATCAGCCTAGGTTACAGAGTGAGCTCAGGGACAACATAAACTACATGGTGAGACCCTGACTGAACGAGCAAGCCAACAGTGAAACCCAAACCACACAAATGCCCCATTCTTTCCAGTGAACTTTCCATGGGGAAATGGCCAGTGAAAGTGCTTCCCTCAGAAATGCAGTCACCACAGGGGACCAGACCTCAGAGAGCAAGAGTTACCAGAGAATGGAAATGCAGGGCTGACTAAGGCCCATGTAGCCTGAAAATTATTCATTCATCTGAAAAGAGACGGCTTTGCGGGGCACCCTGGGAAAAGAGGTGGAGCCGCAGCCATTTTGACACTGTGCAGCAGGCCAGGAAGTGGTCAATGGCTCCACAGGGAAAGATGAGGCATTCAGACTGTGGTACCAGGGGTGAAAGCTGATGGAGCCTACAGGTAGGGCTTGAATGCCACATGGGTTATGAGAAACCCATTTCTTTCTAAGTCAAGCCATTAAGGGGTGGAGCCACCGCCATACTGGGCTTTGGGAACAGGGACAGAGAGAGCCTGGGGGCAGGAGACAGATGGTCAGTGAATTTCAAATATGGAAAAGGAAAGCCTATAAGAATCTGTGTTTTTGTAAGTCACCTCTTCCCAAATATCGTATAACCAATGCCAAATTCAAATAGGACGTCTTATGTCAGGTTGTTAGCCTTGGGGCCTCAGACAGTGCCTGCATGAGTCTCCCAAGAAGGGAAGAAAAAGAAAAAATTGGCAAAATATCTCTCTGTGTCCTAGTTGAAAGAAGTAACAGGTGGGGTGCTGGGGGAGGTGGTCCTTGAACAGTTAAGGGATTAGTTTCCCATCGACTGTGGTCCAGACTCAATGCACTGTGGTCAGAGATGGGACAGGACAGAGCCTTCTCTGATATCACCCAGTTCACAAGGTCTTGATTTGGCCCAGATGAGGTTCTCGCAGCAAACTCCAACAAAGAGGAGCTTACAGTGTCCCGGCACCCAGATCATTCAGATGACAAGAAAGGTTTCCCCAAGGGAGAATGCCCTTATCTGTGATAGAGGCAAGAGGGAGGGAGGCAGGATGACTCCTTGACTTTGGTTTCCTTAGGCCTGCCTAGTCTAGGTGGAGTGAGCCTCCCTCCAGGGATCTCAGGAACTCTTCCATGGGTAGGAAGGGAACTAGGACCTATGGAACCCTTATGGCTAAGAAGAAGAAATCCCATCTGTACAAATTCAGAAGGGAGGGACTGGTTTACAAACCTCAGATCCCAGGGCAGAGAAGGGCATGTGGTAGAACACATCACTGCTCACTGAGAGAGTGACTCTACTTACTGTGGTTGAAGTCTCAGGCTGTGTGCTCTCCGACATTGCACTGGTCATTTCACCTAAATAAATAGCAGACACTGTGAATTATATTTACATGCACGTGACCCTTTCTACATGAGCTGAGGGGGACACTGGACAGGTACTTCCTGGCAGATCCTGGTGTCAGTGCTGTCCATTGACACCATGCTTGGTGCTGCGTTTCCTCTTTCCTCATTTCTGTAAGTCAAGCACGATCTCTCCTAGTGTTTGCTCCTTCCTTGAGTGCTGATGTCCAAATTCGGTCCCTAAATGCTTGGGTTACAGTCAGGGCAAGTGGTTTACAACTGAGCTACATCCTCACAGCTATAGTCTAATCTGTTTCCCGGCTTCTTTACCAGTTCTCCCTTAACCACCTCTCCTGTTTGTTTTCACAGGAAGATCCTTTTCATTTATCCTTCTTATTGTCCAAGAGGACTTGACGCTTCTGCTCAGTTGGATCTCAGGTTGGAAGCCGTGGGACTTGCCGCCTCTTTCCCTCATTGATTCCCTCATTTATTTTTCTTCTCTTAAAACGTTGTATTATTTGTTTATTTTTATGTGCATTATTATTTTTCCTCCATGTGTGAAAGTTCATCTGTGTATTTCAAAGCCTGAGATGGCCATAAGTGGGCATTTGATCCCCTGGAATTGGAGTTGTAGATGGTTGTTAACTGCCATGTGTGTGCTGGGGATCAGACCCAGGTCATCTGGAACAGCAGCCCATGCTCTTAACTGCTGAGCCTTCTCTCCAGCCCCTTCCTTGTCTCTCTTCTTGGACTGGCTTCCTGACTAGGGAGTAGAGAAGTGCATTGCAGTTCTTTTCTCTAAACTCCAAGGGAATGGACTCTGAGAGAGTGGATGGAGTACAGGCAGCATAAAGACAGGGAGTGCAACCTGCAGGGATTAGTGAAGGGCAGCAGAGGGTTAGAAATGGGAGGAGGAGGGCCAGCTCAGAAGCGGAAGTAGAGGGCTGGAGAGACTGCTCAGTGGCTAAGAGCACTGTATACTCTTGCAGAAGACCTGATTTCCATTCCCAGCACCGAGATGGTGGCTAACAAACTTCTCTAACTCCATTTATCATGGATCTCACACCCTCTTCTGACCTCCTTGGGCATTGCCCAACAGGGATGCACTTACGTACATGCCGAAAATGCAGTCAAAGTCATAAAATAAAATTAATAAACTAAAACCAAAGAAGCAGAGGTAAAGAAGCCCTTGCCATTTCCCAACATGGCACTCAGACTTGAAGAAAACAGAGGAGGAAAGATCATCAGACTCACCAGTCTTCTTGACATATAGGAAATACCCCAGGGCTGCGATCAGAGCTGCCCCAGACACAACTCCAACCAGCAGCCCAGCAATGGCTGCACCCGAGAGACCAGAGCGTCCTCGTGTTGCCTCCGCTGTCATGGGGAGAAAGAGAGAAAGGAAGGAAGGTGAAAGCACTATACATGACGTGTCCTGGGGAAGAGTCAAAGTTGTGTTACAGAAATAAAGGCTATACATCAGTGGGAAAAAATGGAAATCTCAAAATAGTTCATGTGTACTGCCTAATGATTACATTTAAAATATAGTCAATACATAATGCAGTGATGTCTTTTTGGCATATAGTGTAATACTTTAATGCACATATGTAGCACGTAGTCAGATCAGAGCAGTTGGCATGTGCAGTCAGATCATAGCACTCGACATGTTCATCGCCTCATTTATCATGTTAAAAATAATCTCTTCTGCTAGTTATTTTAAAAGTCAGAATTAGCTGTTTCCAGAACTACTATTGAGTTGCAGAACATACATATGGGCAATGAGGGCATGGATAGATGTTCAAATATCACATATAATTTATTAAGAAAACAGGAATTAAAATCACAATGTGTTACCAAATCATATTCGTTGAGATGGCTGAAACTGGGTGAAACTGGTATCATTAAAAGGAAAGACCAAAATGAAAAAACAAGTGCCTTTGAAGACAAAAAGAAATTGGAATTCTTCTGCCTAGCTAAATGGGTGTGTGAAATGTAACTGCAAAACATAGTTTGGTGGTTTCTCAAAAAATAAAGGAATTATATGAAACCCCATGATTCTTTCCTGGATTGATGTTCAGAAAAACAGAAACAGGGGATAGGAACAGATTTAGCTTACCTACCTCAGAACAGCATTGCTCACAATGGTCTAAATTTGGAAACAACCCAAAGCCCATTGAGGGGATGAATGAACCAGTAAAACAAGTCCTAGGAGGACAGTGGTTCCTGTAATGGAACCGTGGACTAGAACAGTCTTAAATGAAATTCTGACCCATGGCAGGAAACCCAGGGAAAAGCACAAGGACGTTACGATTCCACATCACTGTGAGGCCTAGAACTGTCACATGCAGAGACAGAAGCAGAAAGCTGGTCACAAAGAGCTCTAGGGTGTAGAACAGGGTGAGAGGAAGGTTTGGAAATACATAATGCTGATGGTTCTATAACAGTATCAATGTACTTTACGGCACCGAACTGTACGTTCAAAACAGACAAAATGGAAAAACTTACACAGCATTTTAGCACACATCAAAAACTCTTAACAGAAAAAAGAATCTTCTGAAAAGCCACACTGTTAATATTGATCTCAGGACAAGAAACTCAATGCAGTTGGTTCCTAATATCTGTAGAAAATTTTCTGTCCTATTTCTAAATTTCATATAATACAACTAAAATCTATGCAGCATTCATATTAGGGTTTAGAAATATTCTAAAGATGATTTAAGTATCTAGGAGGATGTGCCCAGATACACGAAAATACACTGCCATATTTTTTATTATTATTATTATCATCATTATTTAGTTTTGATTGAACTTTTTACACTTCAGACAATAAATTTGGATAATATTTAGACCCCTCCCCTATTTTCAACTTTCCATAGACATCCTGCCTAGTTTCATGCTTTATTTTCTATATGTGAAGGCCTACTGAGTCGTTTGTATCCCCAGTGTCCTTCAGTGAGGGTTCATCCACTGGCACCTGGTAACAAATTCTCTCCCAAATACGGATCAGATTTGGTTATCTGTGGATCCCTTGGAACCAAGACATCATGGATTCTGAGGGCTGATTGGCAGCCTAAGCTCTTAATCAATTTGCAGTTCTGTTCATGGCATGGATATCGCGTTATTGTGACTGAGTCTCACTATGTGACCCAGGCTGGCTTAATGCTCACGTTGACCATTTTTCATCCTGGGATTACGTGCATTGTTACGTATGTTGTTTTTATTTATGTCTAAATTGGTATTCTCTCATATAATTTTTATGTATTTTGTACACCATCGGAAAGAAAATACCCTTTCTCTTTTAGGAGGACAGGATTTGTCACTTACTGTTCACTGCCAGGTGGACTGGGTGACTCTTCTTAGAACTGACTGTGTTGGAGACCTCGCACTGATAGTCCCCAGCATCCTCCTCCTTGACAGTGTCTATATTGAGCCTGCTGTTCTTCTGGGTCAGCGTCATCCTCTCGGTGAGCTGCAGACTCTGGTTATTGAAGATCCATCTGATGGAGGTTCCAGGGCTACCTGAGAGGCAGGTGAAGACCACAGAGCTCTTTTCTGCAATTGTGGTGTTGGTGGCTTTGATGGAGGGCTGTGTCACTGGTTCTGAGGACAGACAGAGGAGGGGACCAGCTGAGAGCAGCTCTTCCTCAGAGATCTCAGTGAGCTCTCAGAGCCCACAGCATGAGGTGTGAGGTGACACAGACCTCTGCAAGATCATCTGTCTGGTTGAGGATACAGTCTGTAAGGAGAAGGCTGTACCACCCTCAAACCAGATCATGCCGAATGACCCGAGACCAAGACAGTCATTGTAGATTCCCCACAGAAGCCTCATCTCAGCCTCTGTGTGTAGAAAAATCGGGTGAAAACTTTTTCCCACTGACTTTGGTGCAAACCATTTACAGTACATTCTATAAGTATAATGAGGCCCCACCATTATAAAGTAGCTCTGTGTTTATTTCTCATTAATCTGTTGTTGCACTGAGGTAAGTCAGCCATTTTAGCATATTAAACCTAGATGTTAGGACTGAGAGAAATCCCAAACCAAAAATATTTCTATTTACAGAGGTACTGTGTTTCCTAGCTCATAGATTAAATAAAACATTATTACAAAAGCTCAATAAAATATATTTTAAAACACTCATACACATAAAATAATAATAACAATAATAATTATAAAAATCTGAAGAGCTGAATGGTCCCATTGTTAACAAAGCCAACACTCTAGTCCTCACTCCAGACACCTTTTGGCACTGCCCTGAACCTCCACCCCTCTTAATCCACACAGAGATTCCACATTTGTGCTGCCTGTTGTCCGAGGACAGTCTCTCTGTTCTCTGTGGTCATCACATGTTGATGTCCCCAGCCTGACACAGCTGGTTCTGCAGAGCCAGGACTCAACTCAGAGCCACCTCACCTCCCCTGAGGTTCACTTTTCCCTCCTCTCTGATCCTAACCCCAAGAATTCTCTGATTTCCATCATTGATGTGTTCATTTTTCTTTAACCTTTGAGAAAAGGAAACAAAAGAGCCACATGGAGTGATTAACATGCTTGGTCCTGCTTCTGGACAGGGATCCCAGTCACATCTCCACCCTCCCCTTCAGTCCCCAATGCAGTCAGAGCAGATCCTGGAGACACAAGAGCAGAGCTGGGAGCAGAGCTCTGAGCCCCTTGTCTCTGAACTGCCTTTCATTTCTCCTTTTGATATAAAGAGTGTGGGGGTTGCCAAGTATGGTTGTGCATGCTTTTAATCCCAGCACTTGGGAGGCAGAGGGGGGTATCTCTCTGAGTTCAAGGCCAGCCTGGTCTACATATTGAGTTCCAAGACAGCTGCGGCTACAGGGAGACCCTGTCTCAAAAAGAACCCCCCCTCGAAAAAAAGAGTGTGGGGGGTCATTCAAAGCCCCGGGGGATCCTTCTGGGACAGGAAGGGCATGAGAGGTTAAGATGTCTATGAGTTTGATGGGAATATGACCACCTGGAGCAAACCAAGCAAAGCCTCTTGCGGCATCATCAAAAGGAAGGGAAGCTTCTGCTCTGTAAATGACCTACTTTCTCTGATGTCTTCAGGAAATGGTCCCACAGCACTAGGGTGTGGGTTAGGGGAAGAGTTCTTCAGCACAAGGCCGTGGGTTCCATCAGGAACTCAACACACACTAAAAATTCCGATGTCTCATGTGTTCACTGAGTCAGATTTGGGGATTTACATTCTTTCTCCATCACAGGTGGAAACCCTGAGCTTCACCAGACATGTGATGTCCCTCTACCCACTTCTAGGCCAGGCCTTATTCATCTATCTGTCAAGGCCTAAGATTAAAGTACCTGAAGCTGCACTTTTCTCCTGTCCATACTTCTAGGCCAGGCCTTATTCATCTATCTGTCAAGGCCTAAGATTAAAGTAGCTGAGCCTGCACTTTTCTCCTGTCCACAGACACCTCATAAGGCCTCCAGGGTGGAGAGGTGGGTGCTGTGGCTGTAGACAGACCTCTTGTGCTCTGCATCTGCCATCCATGGCCTGTGTGACCTGAGTCAGCCACAGTGTTCCCTGGTTCTCAGTTTCCCTCCAAGAGGAGCCATGGTAAATGATAACTGCCTTGTCTGTAAGTTAACCTCCTATTAACAATGACCTGAGCTGTGCACAGCAGTGTCTGTTACTATTTGCCTAAAATAGAGAATGCCCTGGGCTGGATTCCTGAACACGTGGAGCACCCAGGTGCACCGTTATCCTCTCCTTCTACCCTTCATCACATCAATATTGCTATGGAGACTCATAAGACCCTTTGAGCAGTTAGCCAATAGTTGGAGCACTTGTCCTTCCGAGTTCTGCATGCTGACACTCAGGAGGAGACACCCAAGTGACATAGACTAGATGTGACTTTCATGACAGTGCACTGGCTGAATCCACAGGCTCTGAGACTCAGCCAATTACTCACAGTTCCCTTCAGTTCTAACAGGAGGTCAAATTCCATCCCTGAACCCAAGCTTCGCCAGGTCACCTGTAGTCAGGGGTCTGGGACAGGGGTCAGGAACCAGGGCTTATTGGTGCTTGCCTTTTGCTGAGGATCTGGTGTTTACCTCATTCAGGCCCTGTCTGAGAACCACAGGTCTTTCTTGTGGTAATGTTCATGTGCAAGGCCCCAAGCATGTGTTCCGAAGCAGACCCACCTGTTTGGTTTGTCCCATTGCAAGTCCCCTTGGCGGGTGGATGGAGGGACTGTGAAATATTGCATTTTGTGAGTCCTGTCTGAATGCTCAAACCCTGACCTGGGGACACAGTGCAGAGGGGAGGAGGGCACAGTTGACGCCTCACAAGCCTGTGTGTGTAAAGTGGGTTAGCCACACCCAGCACCCAATGGCCACAGAAATTCACTCACTGTGAACAAAGAACTGCCCGATACTGAAGTAATTTCCAACCATTTCAATGCCGATTTTTAGAATGAAAATTCCTGCATCCTTCTGCGTGACATTCTTGATCAGCAGAGATCCATTGGTGTACAGTGTCACTCTATTGCTGTATGCGGGCTCCGTGTATTGTAAATGAATCATAACTATATTTTCTGTGACATAATGGCCCATGGTCACACCGATGTCCATTTCATTGTTCTTCCCGTTGACCATACGAAACGTGGACCACTTGAACCAGCGAATTATTATAATATTCCCCGGAAGATCATGGACAAGGAGAAGGACACTCTTCCCTTCAGCAACATGGGGTGGCACTGCTTCAACAGTGAGTCCAGCAGTGGTAGGAAGCTTCCAGAAGCTTAAAAGTGTGACTAGGTAGAAATAAAGAGAAATCTGTCAATATGGGGACGTCTCTTTTTGGCAGAAAGTTAAGACCTGAGCAGGTATATTCATCCCTTAGCTGTGGTGAATTTTTTTTTTTTTTTTCGTGTGTGTGTGTGTGTGTGTGTGTGTGTTTCCCTGTCTCTATGTTTCCTACCAGAGGGTCAGTGACTCTGAACATGTCCTTTCCTCTGTGTCACAGTCCCTCACGTGTCTGCACTGCTCACGGCATGACTTTCCTGGGGATGTCTTAAGAGCTGAGTCCCAGATGGCCTAACCCAGTCTCTCGTGTCCAAGAGAGCAGCCAGAGAGAGAGGAGAGTACTTCCTGGAAACAGTGCATTCTGGGTGCAGAGTAGCATGGTCAGAGTAGCTGCCTTTAGGTTTTCTCTTAACCTCATTCTTCAAAGTCTCTGCTGCTTTGTGGTCCCGTGTCTCCATTGCTCTCTGGAATGCTAAGAGCTTAGACAGGGAGAGCCCTGCCAGCTTCCTTCCCCAGGACCAAACACTGTCATCAGCAAAGGCATCTCCTCTCAGCTACTTAGCTCCTCAGAGGAGAAAGAGTTATTACCTTAAATCTGCATGACAAACTTCAGTTTTCAAAAGATTCTATTTATTATTATTGTTTTTAATTTATGCGTATGAGTGTATTGCCTGCCTGTGTGTAAGTGCAACTGTGTTGTACAATGCCTACAGAGGTCAGCAGAGGGCATTGGATCACCTGGAACTGGAGTTTGGGAAGGTTGTTAGCTGCTATAAGGATGCTGGGAAATGACCTCAGGTCCTCTGCAAGGGCAGCCAGTGCTCTTAACTGCTGAGCCATCCCTCCAGTCCCCAAACTTCACCATTGGATCTTTTATGTCATACATTTCTCAAATCGTAGAGATAGGTACGTAAAAATTCCACATATTTTTCTTGTTGCACCTCGATTTCTTTTAGTGCTGTGGTGTGTGTCTAAAATTGTTCTTAGGTGGTGTTAGTTTGTCCCCCAGACAAAATTGTTTTTAACAAACTGAGACCACTTCGGTTTGTTTCTTATTAATTTATATTTTGTTCTAAAATTGTTTTATTTTCGCCATCACAAATTAAAACGCATGTGTGTACAGTTATAAATGGTATATTGGTAATCTATTAATGAGCTTGATGAATACATTTTGTCTTTTAAACTTGGGCACTCTAGACATCTAAAAACACAGTAAAATGTTACCTTTGAGTCTATGATGTGTTTCATATACCTTAAAATTCTAATTGCTCGTGTAAAACAACCTTTATTAAAGTCATAAATAAAGATTTCATGAAGGTACAAAATTTAGTGCTCTATACACAGATTTCAATAAGGATTTCCTTTCTCAATATGTTTCAAATACATGGGCAATAAGTAAATTTTTATTTCAATTATATCATAGTCATAAGGTAATAAAAGGCACATGATTTTTTAAAAATATTAATAGTAAACTGTTAAATGTAAACTTTTTTGAAAGGCTGGACTACATGTAAAATAATGGATATCCATGTTTGCTAAAGATCTCTGTAAAGTTTCCTTCTCACAGTGAGGATCGCAGGAGTTATACTCCCAACAGCACTAACCCTGACAGTCTTGGATGTTAAGTCTTCTGCAGGATGACATAGGCATGCACTGTCTGCACCTGCTTATGCTTTTTTGCATCACTTAGTAACAAGTTGGTTTGTAGTGTGCCCTCAGGTGAACTAGAGTTGTTACATCGGCCCAGCTTCCCTTTGTTCTGCAGTAAAACTAAAATTTTAACGAAAAGATTCCTGACTCAAACCACCCCAACAGGCAAAATAATTTGGCCACATGTCCAGTAGCCAATAAAAGAGGTGGAGTGATGGCCAACAGTGCAACCAGAGAGGAGGCTCATGGCCTAGATCTTCCTTGGAGAGGACTAACGTGAATGTTTATTAAATTGAAAAACATTTTTTAAAGACAAGATGGACATAACTATACAGTTTTACAGTTTTGGTCAAGGTGTTATCTCATGATCTTGGTCTCAATACTGGTTCTGTGATGTCCTCTATTGCTTGAGGGTAGCAATTAATTTAAGAGTTGATACTCTTTATTCAGAGTGGAATTGTTTCTATTGGATAATTGCCCTTCTCTGGGATGCTAACATCTTCATTCTTAGAATTGAGAAGATGACTTATCTTGTGCTTTTAGGCATGTTTTATAGGTGTACATAAATGTAGACATTTTATCTGATCATGCTGGTACATGCTGTTATTCCCACCACTCCAGAGGCAGAGGCAGAGTCAGGCAGATCTCTGTGAGATCAAGGCCAGCCTGTTCTATATAGTGAGTTCCAGACCAGCTGGGGCTACAGGAAGACTCTGTCTCAAAAAAAATCCACAACAAATTTAAAAGGTTTTGCTTGCATGTAGATGTATTAAATAACTAAGGTACCACATAAATGCTTTCTGGCTTTTTGATGTTACCTACTGTATTTTCAATTAAAATTATCTCAAAATTATTTTTAAAGTTTTAAAGAAATAACAGTAATAATTATTAAAAAATAAAACTCTTAATTTAAAAAAAGATATAAAAGGTTACAGGCATGAGACTGTTTTGATAGAAGGTTAAAAATCTGCTTCTTTATGAGAATTGATTTTTGTATTGTAAGTACAAACTGTTCTAAAATGAGAATGGATGAGAATGTCAGAAACTTTAAGTATATTGTAAAAGAATTCAAAAAATACATTTTTAACAAGTACATGTAGTTATAATAAAGTTGATTACAATATAAACAGTATTAAAATTTTAATATCAGAGTGGTATGTGGTTCTCATGACTTTAATCCCAGTACTCGGGAGGCAGAAGCAGGTGGATCTCTATGAGTTCCAGGTCAGCCAGGGCTGCATAGTGAAACCCTGCTAGAAAAAGTCAAAAACCATCAATTATAAGGTTATTCTTCAGAGAAGACTCCGTTGTTAAGAGCATATGCTGCTCTTCCTACAACCCTGAGTTCAGTTCTCTGTATCATGTTATGTGACTGACAACCACAGGTCACTCCATTCCTTAGGGGATTTGATTCATCTGCGGTCTGTGGGCTCTTCCTACAACCCTGAGTTCAGTTCTCTGTATCATGTTATGTGACTGACAACCACAGGTCACTCCATTCCTTAGGGGATTTGATTCATCTGCAGTCTGTGGGCTCTGGTAGTCATGTGCACAGACAAAACATGCACACGCATATGCAGGTGATTACAAATAGAATAAATCTTTGAAAATGCATAGTTCAGGGCTGAAGAGATGTCTCAGCAGTTAAGAGTGCTGGTCGTTCTTGCAGAAGACCCGGGTTCAATTCTGAGCACCCACATGGCTGCTGACATCCGTCTGTAACTCCAGTTTCAGATGACCTGACACCCTCTTCTGACCAATGCCCCACATGAATACACTTACATACACATAAGCAATGCACTCATACACATAAAATAAAATTAAAAAATAAAAATGTATAGTTCAAAATTCAATATCTTGAGATAAAATTAATACTTGATACTCTGGTTACAACAATAAAGTTTTTTTATTTTTTATTTTTTTTGGTCTTCTTCAGATAGGTTCTCCCTGTAACCTCAGCTAGCCAGCCTGGAACTCTCTTTGTAACCCACATTGACCTCACACTCACAGAGATCTGCCTGCCTCTGCCTCCCAGGTGAAGGGAGTAAAGGCCTATGCCACCATGCCTGGTGAAAAATTTTCTTAAGTACTACCTATTATTAATAATGTTTACAAATAAATGGCTGAGAAAAGCAAGGATTTTTAATTATGTGAAGCAAGTTTCTTAATTAGATCCAGAGTCTTCCTTGAAGAAGGACTTCACATCAAAGACTCTGCTATGACTGGAGGAAAAAGACCGTCCAGTCACTTCAAACCTTCTCCTATGCTTCGAAACTCAATGAGATGAACCGTCAGATTCACACTTCTCATGTCAGCCATGTGCCAGCTTCCTCCGAGAAGGTATCCACGTCAAAATGCTGGATGAGTCTCATCATCAACCACATAGACAGTGCAGTACCGCAAGTCACTGAACATTTCTCTCAATTTTCATGTTACTTAGGGATTTTAATTGTTTCTTGTGTTTATTATTTCATTTGCTACATACAAGGTAAAATAATTCTATATTTGGTTTTAATGAAGTTGTAATTGATGATATTATTTCCTTTTGTTAATCAGGGTTTTGTGTATGTGTGTGTATGTGAACTTTTTGTACCCAGAAACCCTTCTTTACTTGAAACAATTGTCAGTATTTAAAAGATTCAAGTGCTTTTACTCTTTGGAAAAAATTTTTTCAAAATTCATTATAATGTACAATAAGAATCTAGGTTGTAAAATAATAGACACTTACTTTAAATTTTCTAACCACCACCACCAACAACAACAACATAAAAAAAATTAATAAAAAAAAAACAACAAACAATGCACCTTCCGTTTTCAGGAGTCCTAGTTAGCTTTTTGTTGCTGTGATAAAACACACTGATCAAAATAGACTTGGAAAGGAAAGGGTTAAATTGGTTTATGTGTTCTGATCACTGTTTATCACGAAGAGAAGTCACAGCAGGAATCTGGAGACAGGAGCTCAGGCACAGAGCAGAGGAGTGCTGCTTACTGGTTTGTGTCTCAGCCTGTGGTCATCCTGCTGTCTTATACAACCCAGGACCACAGGCCCAGGAGTAGCACCAACCACAGTGGGCTGGGTCTCCCACATCACTCAGAAATCAAGAACAACACCCCCCAGACATGCCCAGAGGCCAGTCCAATAGAGAAAGCTCCCCAACTGAGGTTCCCTCTTCCCAGGTGTATCAAGTTGACAACTGCTGTGCCCAGCACATCGAGGTACAAATAGTTTAAATTAATCCAAATTCTTCAGCCAAAATGAATGAACATTTACCTACTAGATATTTTAACTCCTTTTCCTCTACTAGAGGTACTCAAAGATTTAGGTTAAGTCCTCATCCAAACAATACAGACATTGTCAATACCTACTAACAACAGTATTCATGATGTTTTGTACCTTGAGTGCTGATGTTTCTTGATTAAATGAGTATCAAAGGTGCCCACGTAGTACAGTTAGAGTTTAAAAATTAACAATAAACAGTATATTTATTTTATTAATAAAATGAAACCGACAGTACTATGGTAATTCCTATTGTCCCATTTCCATTTCTAAACATTAAAATAAAGAGTAAGATTTAACTACACTTACAGAGCCTATACGCTTCAGATTTCTACTGAGCTTGATCTCTTGTTTCTGTTGCTATTATTAACAATGTGTACCATAGCAAAGAGAATCTTCTTAAAAGAAAGTTTAAAAAAACATCATTATCTATTTCTTTTATATCATGGCTTTCCATTTACTTTGTGAAACTATATTTTGTATAAAGCCAAAATAAGGAAACAGATCAAGTCTGTATCTACTGATAGAGTTAATAAATGTGAAATATCATTTTTAATTAAAAATTAGAGCTAGCCAATCTACCTAAAGTTGTAGCTATAAGATCCAGTTGGACAAAAGACAAACTAAGGAAAAATAGCAGATTGCTTCAGGTATTTAAATATAAATAACAGTTCATACTGCACAAATAACTGTAAATCCAGGGGGAAACATATAGTCAATCTACTTTTTTTAAGCATGTAAATTCTGGTTATATAAAATGTGTGTTTCCTTCACATGGTAACTTTACTCTGCTAGGCCAAACAGTGTTCTTTATTATTTAAATGTCAAGTGTAATAATCCTAATATATGACACATATAAATGTTTTGTCAGATATAGAGGAAAAACTCAGATCCAAATTATGATGCTAACTGTTGTTTTGACCCCTGAGTGTCCTCCTTCCTGGCTGCACTGGCTGCTCCTCTCTGTGAAGACTGCTCTTCCTGCCTCCTGTGCAGCCTCATCTCCACCAGATCCTAGAGCATTCCACAGAAATATAGGACGCTGATAATATTTAATAAATCATGTGGGCCCCACATGCACAAAATGTGATGTATGCCAACAGGGGAAGTGGGAAGGAAAAATGACTCCTGCAAAGCTGACTCACTGATTAAAACTTCAGTCATTATGCAGAGTTAGAATGTTGCAGTTCTGAAACCTAACTGCAATTTGTCTTGAGTTATTTTCAGTCCCCTGGATAGACATTTCCTTACTCAATTCTGTATCGCACCCAGCATCCTCTGACAAACAGAAAAAAATCCTTTGGAACAGAACCTAGTTTCCATCAATAAAAGGGCGGTGGCTAAGAGCGCTGTGAGAGTGTCTCAGACCTGCAACAAAACTCTCCCCTCTTTGCTACATCCACCTCTCTCTTATCCACCAAACTACTTGAAAATGCCTTGATTGATGACTTTCTTTGTTCTGTTAACATGAAAAGTTCATGAGACTCTTATCCCATTCATACACAGAAATTGGGGGGCCTCGATCTTTGTTCTTGGGCCAGGGTCAGTCATATTTTCCTCCAGAATAAAATATCCCTTTTCCCCTTAGGATGAGAGTTGAGAACTGAGACCTTCCTGTTGCTGATCTCATGTCCCTCTTTGATTCCTCCCATCTTAGGCTCCAAACAAAACCCATGTCCCCTCTCTGGGTTTTTTTCCCCACAGAAGACTCAGCTAGACTCTGAGGTCCCCTCATCCTACCCACTCCCAGGAAATGATCTCACCTGTGAGCAGGAGTCCCCACCAGGTGACAGGCCATCTGAGGCAAAAGGCTGAGGGAGGGGCCATGTTCTCTGCTGCCTCCTCTGTTCTCCTCTGTAGAGAAGAGATCCCGCTCTGGCCAGCACCGCTGCCAAGTCCCACTGCTGTGGTGTCAGCTCTGCTGTCCTTCTCCCAGAACTGAGCTTCCTCCCAGAGGAGAGCACCTTCCAGAGTTCATATAGGCTGTGGGTGGGGTCTGTGTCACTGTTACAATGCTGTCCCTTCCCCTCTCAGCTCACCTCTCATTTATGTCTCCCATTTTTGTTTTTATGGTTCATTCTTCCTGAGCACACAATGAGCCCCAAGGCTGATTGGGCTGCCTTTCCTGAGAGAACACCAGCTCACCCTAGAACTGACCTCAGCTATGTCCTGCCTTGGGTCCTCAGCCTCAGAGAGGGAGCCCTGTATTCCCTGTTCCTGAAGGTGTATTTCCTTTTACAACACAATGAGATGAGCACTCTCTTCCCTGTGTTCTCAGTGGAGTGGGAAGGTAGGATTTACTCCCAGCAGTGAGGGGACAGACATATCTCTGTGGACAGGAGAAAGACTGAATGAATTATGACTTTTGAAGAGGTCCGTAGCATTATCACTGCTGTTACCAATAATGTGTCTGATCCACAAGAGAGGGCCAGAGTAGCTGTACCACAAGTTTCATGCCCTGGGTATGCAGGAGGAGGCAATCTGTGTGCCATGAAAAGAGGACTGTGGTAGCTATCATGCTGTAGAAGGTTCAGGAAGATCCTTCAGCTTCTTGTTCTATCTGAGCTGTCCATGTCCTACCTGACTTTTCTGGGATGCTTTTCATCCTCTGCCTAGGTGAATCTTCAGGAGAGAGGAAGCTGCATAGGGTCTACGGCTGAGAACTGTCCTCAGAGACATGGGAAGGATCCAGTAGGGCACAGTGTGCTTGTGGGAGGGAACTCCAAGTCTGTTGGGGCAGATAGGAATCCAGGGTGCAAGTCAAATTCATGTCTCAGGGAAGTAAGTTTCCTCGTGTTGATGTGGGTGCCAGTATTTCTCCTGTGGCCTGGTGCTCAGTGGGGAAGGAGCCCTGGAGCAGGGCAGACATCTGCAGCTCCTTCAAGCACGGTTCCCTGGGCCCCTCTGCCTTGGTCCTGGTAGGGCACCATGCAGGAAGCTGAGCTGCTTCTCAGCATGGGGCTGCAGAGAGCACTGGGTGGGGAGTAGTGGGGCTTCAGCTGAAGATTAAAGCACAGATGCTGTCCGGGCATCCACAGTCTGTGTGTCCCTAAGATCCCTGAGAGACGCAGTCCAGAAAAGCAGGAAAAAGTAGGAATTTTTCTCCTTTGTCTATATCCATTAGCAGTTTGCACAGACAATGAAGTAACATTCCCCACATTTCATGAGAATATTATCATTTGAAGTTTATGTTCTGGATGTTTACACCATCCTGCTTCAAGGAGATCCAGAAGTAAAGAGACAAAATCGCTCATCCACTGCTTACTTAAGTTTGCTTGGCTGCGATCTGTTGGATTTGGCATCCGATGAAATTAATCTTATTTCTTGTTCTCAAGTTGAAAATTTGTGTTTCGCTGTAGCTCTAGAGGGGCAGGTGTTATAGAGCTCTGAAAGCTTTTTAAAACTTTGTTCTATGTACCTGCCCTCCTCCAGTCAGGCAAGTTGTGTTCTATTCATTGTTGCCTCTCCTTGGACAGCTCCTTGATTCGTGGGGATGAAATGGCCCTAGTGGTGTGCTGAGAGCAGCCCAGAGCCTGGGGGTCGGGGGATGTGTGTGACTGACCTAACTTCCCTCTCACTGTTCATGAAGACTTCTAAAGTTTTAGTATCCAAATGGCCACTCTCCTTTCTCTTCTCTTCCTTACAGCCTAACCCTGAACATCACATTCAGGCTCAGGAGTGGGCTGTAATTGCTTTTATAAATTTGTTGACAATTTCCTGCCTGTGATTCTACAAAACAAATAGCAGGAAATTCTTGAAACTCAGTGGAATGTACATGGAAAAGCGAGACACATGCACACATCTGTCAACGCCCTGGCATGCATACAGTGAGGACGGGGTTACTCTCTCTTGGGCTTTTTAATGTTACCTTGGGTAACCCCTATAATACATATGTGAACCTAGACAGTATGTAATGCTGTCTATACCATGGCCTCTTGATAGTTTAAGGTGAGTGCCATGAATTCATCCATCTGTTCTACATATACCTGCACTGATTGTGTCAGAGTGTGGGCTCAGTGATTACTGAGGTGGTTATACTTTCCTTTTGATGTTTAAGGCCATAAAGTTGGCCCAGATAAACTAATTTATTTTTACTGTTAAGGTCATTTGAGGATCTGTTCCTCAGGGGTCGCATGAGTTTGGAAGGAGTCCCTGGCTCCTTTCTTTTACCAGTTCCGCCTATGTGAAGATAAGTCAAAGGTCCTGCTCAACTATGGTTGGCTTCGCTTAGAAGCATGGAGGTAATGATTCCTCTGTGTTGACCCTCCTTTTTATAGACCAGACACCGGTTCAGCTCATCTGGTGGGGTCTCCTCGGCCTGCTTGATCAAGAGGACAGGTGACCCACCACAATTATAGGACATTTTGAGAGATGATCATAGTCCCCTGGAACTAGTCGACCGAGGAGGGCAAAGAGCAAAATGTGTCCTTTATGTCTCTCTGACCAAATTATTATAGACCTCAAAGTATGTCTGTTAAACACCCAAAAAGGTTAGTTCCACCAGTCTGGTATTTTTAATTACTGTGTGTCATGTAGATAAATCTTGGGCAGGGACCAGTTGTTCTTAGAG